ACAAGAAGGCAAGAAATAAAATAAAGGAATATTTCATTATTGTGCATAAAAAAAGAAAAGGAAATAAATCATTATTTTATATTTGTGGAAAGAAATGAAGGCTTCAGCAAACGAGCTGTACATGGAGATATATCAAGCAGAGACAACAGCTGTAATTCAAACATAAATGTATAATCCTTAGAGCAGAGAACTCTTTAAACAGTTTACAGTGCAGAAATTCCCCCCTCTGCCCACTGCAGTCTGTAGCTCCAAACCCCTTCTCTTCCCATTCCCATCCAGGATTTTTACACAAGAGTGAACCCACGTAATTCATGCCCTTTACCGAGTTTGCTGTTATAACCTGGTATTAAATTTATTTTTTGCTCCTCCAACTTCCCAGATGAGATTAAATATTATCACCTCATTTGGAGCCCAAACACCTCCGAGAGCACTTTTTGTATTTGAACCAGAAACTGGGTAGTTAGTGCCTGACACACCCTCTAACCTTCAGTGTCTTCCTCAAGGAAAAGCCTGGAGTTTGGCAGGCTGTGTTTTTGTCACCTTTTGTGTGACCTAGGCCTGCAGAACAACCATGGGTCAACCCTGAGGTGCTCAGCACCTGCAATTCCACGTGGCAGCTGGGCATAATCAGTAGCTTGCAGGATCAGGCTCTTAGTGCACATTCCTTTTTTGGGGAAAGAAGTAGACAGGGCTAATTAACAAGTTAAAACTGTAAAGACAGGCTTATCTCTCTATGAGTTAAACCATAAAATAACTTCATTGCACTAAACCCTTGTGAACCTTCAAGTAATTCCTTGGCTTGATTGATTAGACTGGAAATGCAAAGGCTGCAAAACCAGCACTCAGCTCTTCTATTTGTTATAATTAGAGGTGAGAAGAAAATATCTCATTTTGGTGCATGGGTCACACTGCACGAAGGTATGCATGCAAAAGCACTTTGTTTTAGTTGCTGGTTTTGCTTTAATACAAATCACCCTCACGTTTATTCCTGACCTGGGTTTGCTGTTTCCATAATTTGTGTTTTAGCCAGTTAAATATCCACAAATCATGATACTGAACATTTACTTTCCTCTTGACAGTTGTTTTCTAAGCACAGTCCTTTGTTTAATATGTTCTGGCCTCATGTATATTTAACAGCCTCTAAGGAGTGTCATTGCTTTGGAAGTAATAAATAAATTCTATTTGTCCTATTTTTATATTTTCCCAAGAATTTCTGCCACAAGGAACTCGGGTTGTAACTGAGATATTAAAATTTAATCTCAAGATTTCATTGTAAATCTCTGACTTGAATAAAAAAAAAATCTGTGATTTTATGTGCTGAGTGTCTTAAGATCCATAAACTCAGCACTCTGAAATGAAGGAACAGAGGAGTTGTAACAGTTTGGGAGAACAATCTCTGTATGAAAACAACCACAATTATCTGAAAGTCATCAGGGAGCACAAATAAGATCTGATAGTCAAAGCAATTAAAGTATAGTTGCTATTTATTGCCTCACACAGTACACAGATATAATAATTTCATCTTTTCTAACTGTTACTAGTGAGCTAATGCACTAGAATTCCACCAGGAATAAAGTCCTCTGGCAGAACTGCTGTTAAAAAAAGACATAAATACAGGCCCACAGATCTCTGAGGCCAGTACAGAATCAACAGAAGTGGTTTTGCTAAAAATGGACTCTTTGTAAAAAAAAATTGTCTTTGCAAAACCCACCTTTGGGAAATTTTATTGTGCCTTTTTGAACTTAGATTTCAGTGGATGTCACCCAATCCCTGGGTCATGATTACTGGAAAGAAGGCCCGACAACAAATGTAGAATTAATTCTACAGCATTAACTACTTAAAGTGATTTGGGCATTAACTGGCACAAAAAGTAAGCTCTTAAATTAATAGTCTTTTTTTTTCAAGTTGTTGAGCTCTAATCCTACTTCACCAAAGGACACAGGAACTGGATTAGAACTAAAGACACCAGTACCAGAAATCCCTACCATGGTTCCACAAAGGCAAAGTTCATTCTGAGTTCTCTGGAATACTGAAAATGTGCTGCTTTTGTCCAAAGCCTGACACAACCTGCTGCTGTAGGAGGTCCAACTGTTCTGCATTGGAACTGCATATCCCTGCATTTTAAAGGAGTTTCATTAACTGTTTTTAAATTTATCTTCCTACATTTTCCTTGATTTTAAGGAAAACAACAGGCTCTTTGTAAATTGTACAGGTCCTCGTCCCCTGTATACTTTAAATTAAGACTTTGTCAGTAAAAAGCCAGCAAGGGAATTCAGCCTTCTGCAGCTCCATTCATTTGAGTAATCTCCAAACAGAACTGTGAAAGGGTCATTAATCCCACCAGTCCTCCTTGCATAGCATTTTCTTTCAGTGCAGCCTCAAAAAGGAGACAAAACTCTGCAAAATGTCACTCATTTTTTAACCATATCACGCTAGAAAGCAAACAAATAATGAAAATATTTTATCTTAACACAAAAAAAGATTTGTAGTTATGAGAACAAGTGTGAAGCCATTTGACACTTATTAAAAACCTTAATGGCCCGAGGAATCATTTTATCAGTCAGATCTGACTCCTGCATAACAAGGACTGGTTAGTGGGCTCCACTAACTCCTAACTCCAGTGTTTTGAGTTATATGTCAAAACCATCTAGGGCTTGTCCAGACCCTAAAATGGAACATGGAATTAGGATGTTTGAGCTAAAAGAGGGACCAGATGTATCCAAACCTGCCACGACTGGTGACAGTCTGGAACGAAGGGGTGAGGTCACATCACTAATGTCTCATTAGCACCGAGGGACCAGGTCTGGGTCTGTTCAAAGGGACTTTTCACAACAGTTTATCTGATTCCAAATAACAGTTCTAAAACCAACCACCTTTCCTAAATACATAAACCAAATGAATGGGAGACAATTTCTCAGCATTTTTCAGTACCAGAAGCCATATTTACTTTTAAAAAGACAACAAAATTTCCCCAAACTGGCATTAAATACTTTTTTTTATTACTCCTACAGTGCTCCAAAAGGCACATCAATAATGCAAACCTCCTGCAGCTCAGGCTGTGGGATGAGGCAGAGTGTGTCAGCACATCGTGTCATCTTCCAGGGGAAAGGAGACATTTGAGAACCACCTGCTGTGAGGGGGAAACACTCCTCATTTACAGGCTCGTATTCAATGTGGTTGTTAAACATTCTCCATTTACAGAGTCATATTCAATGTGGCTGTTAACTTCAGATCTTATCTGGGTCCACAATAACCAAGGAGTGCAAACATAGGGCTCACTTCACAAACAAAATCTACAAATTAGCAGTTTGGGTCTAAAAACCCTATAACATGACACTTAGGGAGCACTAATCCTGTGTCCGTCCCCAAATCCATCCTTTGGAGCTTTATGGCATCTTAAAGAGTATGTCACTAATCTGGGGTGGGCATGGATTTAATCTGAATCACAGAATAACTGGGGTTGGAAGGGACCTCTGGAGATCACCCAGTCCAACCCTGCCAAGGCAGGGTCACCTGGAGCAGGTGACACAGGAATGTGTCCAGGTGGGTTTGGAATGCCTCCAGAGAGGGAGACTCCATGCCCTGCCTGGGTAATTGTCCCCGTGCTCTGCAACCTTCAACGCAAACAAATTCTTCCTCATGTTGAGGTGGAACTTCTTGTCTTTTAGTTTATGGCCATTGCTCCTCATCCTATCACTGGACACACCAAAAAGAGTCTGGCACCATCATCTTGGCACCTGCCTTGGTAATATTTGTGCAGATTGCTGAGATGCCCTCTCAGACTTCTGTTCTCCAGACTAATCAGGCCCAGCTCCCGCAGTCTCTCCTCATGAGAGAGATGCTCCAGATCCCTCATCATCTTTGGGGCCTCTGCTGGACCCTCTCCAGTAGCTCCTTGTCTTTCTTGAACCGAGAAGCCCAGGACAGGACACAGTATTTGCCCCAATAATATATTCCCAGGGGACCCCTCTGGAGCCCCTGCAGTGTGTGCTGCCGGGCTGAGCTGCTCATTCCTTCCGAATTAACCCACCACAGAGCAAAGCTCAGCAGATAGTCTATGAAAACACACCCATACATATTCTCAGGCTGTACAAACACGTCTGTAATTCCCTAACTCACAAAGTCATTGTTTAAGAGCACGAGTAGGACTGTTCAACCACTGTGTGAGGGGAGCTTTCGTTTTCAGCGTGAAATTATGTGTAGGCTCAACGTTCTGGGGTAAAAAGAGCTGTTTTGAAGCCATCCCTCCCCACACAGGGCTTAGTTTGTCCCTCAGACTGGGTGAGCACCCAGGGGGGCCAGGGGCCCAGCAGAGCCCGGAGCTGCAAAATGTGGAATCTGTGAAATTTTTCTTAAGAAAGGATGTTCTTTGATGTTTGATCTTTGTGTGCTTTCAAGCCTAGTCAACAAGAAGGAAGGGGATTTAATCCACGAAACCGGTAGATCTAAAAAGCACTAAGTGATGTCCAGGTGTTAAAAAGACAAATTACTTGTTGGCAGAACATGTTGATATTTAGGGCTGGACATCCTCCAGTGGTCTCAGACCTGGGGTGGAGGGAGTGGGAGTTTGGGGACAAGGATGTAACACTGATAGCGGGCACAGAGGATGCAGAATTTAAGGGGCCACGGGGACATTTGGCAGAACTCTCAAGATAAGGAAGAAAACTAATAAAGGTAATTGAGTGACTGTGCTGAATCAGCTCCGACTGGGCAACAGGTGATTCTGGGAGGGGGAGATCGTGACCACAGACCCAAGAAACCCAAGGAAGAGGAGGAAGACTGAGCGTGGCACCAATCAGCACGCGAAGAGAGAACCACTAACCAACAGAAGATAGAATTCTAATTAACGAGGGAAATATGTAACTTGTAGGCAATGAACACCAACGCCGCTGAAAGGTACAAAGACCGAAAAGCTTTGTGGTGCCGCAGCGGTGGAACACCCGAGGGCGAGGAACTACAACTCCCAGAGTGCCCCGCGCGCCGCGGCTCTCGCGAGAGGCGGCGGAAGCGGCGGGCGCGGCCCGGAAGAGGCGCAGCCGGAGCGCAGCGACCATGGCCGAGACCGACCCCAAGAGCGTCCAGGACCTGACGGCCGTGGTGAGGGACCGCGCCGCGGGGGGACGGGACAGCGGCCGGGGGCGCCGGGGAGAGCAGCGGTTCGGGAGGGGGAGGTTGGACGGGAGCACCCTGATCTAGGGAAGGTGCCCCTGGCCGTGGCATGGGGTTGGGACGGGCTGGGCTTTAAGGTCCCTTCATCCCAAGCCATTCCAGGGTTCTGTGGTACCGAAGAAAAAAGGGCCTCTGTGGGATTAACAAGATGCGGAAACAGCCGTTGTGGGTTTAGCCCTGGTTGTGAAACACGGGCGTTTTTTTAGGTCTTACAAATCATAGGATATTCAGAGTTGGAAGGGACCCACAAGGATCATCGAGTCCAACTCCTGGCCCTGCACTGGACACCCCAGGAATCTGTGCCTCAGAGCGTTGTCCAAATGCTGCTCGAACTCACAGGCTTGGTGCTGTGACCACTGCCGTGGGGAGCCTGTTCAGTGCTCAGCCAATTTACTCTATTGTTTACTGTAAGCCTCAGTTGTCCTCTGTGTGTATATATATATATGTATATATATTTATGTAAATATATATATATATTTAAGTACTATTTTTACATATATATATAATTACACTGCAGAGTTTGGGCACGCTCGTGCTCAGCAATGAAAGAACATTGTAGTTACCTCGTTACATGAGATTAGATAATGCAACAGCCTCTAATGAAAGAAAAACGTTTCTTTTCTCCCTTTCTATCAGGTGCAGACACTGCTGCAGCAAATGCAGGACAAATTTCAGACCATGTCTGACCAAATCATCGGAAGAAATATCCTTTTTTTGAACTCGGGTGCTATGCAATAAATATCATAGGGTCTGTTTGCTGGTGGGATTCGTGAGATAAATTTAAAGTGAGCATAAAAATTTGAGCAGAGCTGTGATACTAAAAGCAAATGAGCCCGAGCAGGGCTGGAATGGTGTCGTTTCCTTGACCCCTGTGCCCTCGATGACATGAGCTGTCGCATCGATGACCTGGAGAAGAACATCGCTGACCTCATGACACAGGCGGGGGTGGAGGAGCTGGAGGGGGAGAACAAGACCCCAGCCCCCAACAAGAGCTAAAGTGAGACAGGCCCTGGTTGGCCTTGAAACAAACCCTTGAAATTACTGGCTTTGACAGACGGAACTTTTTCCTTTGGTTTGTGAGGTGGGGTTTGTGCAGAGCAGAATTAGAGAATCGTGCTGTGAACACAGTGTCCAGGGAGGGGCAGTGGAGCTGGAGGTGTGTCTGGAGAACAACTGAGGGAGATGGGGGAAAAGGAGAAAAGGAGACTCAGGGGGGACCTTCTTTCTCTGTACAGCTCCCTGACAGGAGGGGGGAGCTGGTGGGGGGGGGGGTTGGGCTCTGCTCCCAGGGAACAAGGGACAGGATGAGAGGAAACAGCCTCAAGCTGTGCCAGGGGAAGTTCAGATTGGACATCAGGAGGAATTTCCTCATGGAAAAGGTGGTCAGGCTTTGGAAGGGGCCGCCCAGGGAGGTGCTCGAGTCACAGGTGCTGTAAATTCCTCCTGTGTGTAAGTGAGGAGCTTGCAGAGGGTAGTGACTCACACAGGGCAGTGCAAGAGAACACTCAGGGATGAGGCAAAATGGGTCCTAGGGCAACATTCCCTGGAGAAAGAAATTTCTTACTGAAAGGAAAATGCGATATTGTATATTATTATGTAATTTCTTAATTGATAACCTGCCCCTGTATTACAGAAACATTGGAGAAGTAGATGTTTCATCCTCCTGGCAGCTCAAAATCCAGTCCAAAACCATGTAGATAAGTTCAGGTGACAAGGCAGCACAAGACACAGCATTTAAAATTGCTGAAGGCATTTGAGGAGATGAGGCAGTGCAGGTGCCAGAACTGTTACAGCATAAACAAGGGGGGGGATGTGCTTAACTATGGTGTCTGAGCACTGAGATTTCACTTCAATTTGTACAGAGCTTGATTTCTGCAGTCCATGGAAGGCAACTGGCAAATAAAACATGTTTCATGTTAAAGGGTGACTAAGTCAGACATGTCTCAGCCTTTCTTAAGCTTGAGATTCTGAGGTCATATCTTGCATTCTCTGCAGTCTGTATAGTGTTTGGAACAGATGTATTCTGGCTTGTTAAGATACTTATTTTTTGTGGTACTTTGACAAAAGTACCAAAAAACTCAAATTCTTACAGGCTTCATTGCCCTCAGTGTCATTTCTCTTGGCCTGAACTCCCCAAATGAAAACTTTTGATGAGCATGATTCTCTTTAATTCTCAGTAATCTATTTTCTTATTATTTTTCCCCAACAGGTTGCCAATGCCTCAAGATGAATCTTGGAAGTTGACTTTTTCTTTTTTCTACAAATCCTTGGAATTACAGAATGGCTTTTTGCAACTCCTGTGTGTAAAAGCATTTTTATATTGTTACAGAGCTTGCATTCCTAATGTACATTGTATAGTTGGGGTAGGGTAGTTTATATTTTGATTTGTGTACTGTAATTTCACTTTTTGAATTCTTGTTATGGTTGTGTTATTAAAACACAGATCTTATGGATCTCAACTGCTGGGTGCATTTTTTTGTGAAGTCACTTTTTTCTCTTTCCTGTACTTTTCTAAATGTTTCATGTTTGATAGCTCAGCATTTAGTGACTCTCATGAAATGGGAACCTTGCCTTGTCCTGTGTGACTTTGTGGAGTGAAGCACAAGATTGAAACTTAGCATTAGTCTTAGTTCTAAGCATCAAGCACTCACTAGTTGGGGTTTATGTGTTGGTTTTCCATACATGTAATAAGGTGGTTCTGGAAACACGAGCCACTGAACATCAAAATCATCTCTCCTACACCTGAGCTGTGTGTTCCTGGAACACAAACCAGAAATACGGATTTACCATCTGTGCACAGCTGAGCAACCACTGCCACTCACATCTGGGACATCTGGGCAGACAAGGAGCTCTTAACTATGAACAATCTCACTATGGGATTGAAGTTTTTTAACACTCCACTTTGAAACTGTCCCTGTGCCCTTTGGCATCACCTTTGAACAGTAACTGTGATCGAAATGGTGATGCTGGACAGAACAGGGGTAGTGTTTTTAGAGTGTCTGCACGTGGGCTTTCAGTTTAAATCTCTGGCTCCTTGGACAAAACAGTTCAGTAGCAAAGCAGGTATATATTGAACAAAAAGGAGAGAATCCAGTTAGATTTTTAAAGCCTTGCTTCTCTTGGAAAAACTTGATTTGGAGAAGTGTTTGCTTTTCTAATCGTATCTACATTTATGGGCCTGCAGTTTAATGGGTTACATTAGAGTATTTGGGCAATGAGAAGTGTATTTGGGGGAGTCTGTACTGTGTCACTTGTGAAGAAAAATGACCCATGTCAGCCATTCCTGACAATCATTGCATTGCTCCTCCAGCTTCAACCCCAAATTTCGTCAAGCGGTGGTGGCAGTCAGCAGTTGCATGTGGGCCACACTTAAATTGCTCTTTGAATGCCACCAAATTAGCACCTCTGTGCTGTGAGGGCAAAATGACAGGTCATTTTTCCAAACTGAGGGGAAATTGTAATAAAAGGTCATAATAACAGGGGAATTTTGTGAACATAAGAAATGTATCAATATACCTTGTAATACCAGCCTTAGGTTCTTTGTAATGTCATTGAAAAATCTAATAAACTGTTGTGTGGTAACCAATAGTCAGGTCATGTATATTAAAGCATTATCTAGCTTAAATATGTCGTTCCATGTGAGATTATATTTAGTTCTAAGTTATAGAAATGCTCTGACACAGCTGCTGCTCGGAGAATATAGTTTAGAATTACAGGTGTGCTCTGTATAATGAATGGGTGATGATTCATGCCCTGTCAGACCTGGATTTTAGTAGGTAATTAGAACACAGACCAAAGGTATATGAAATTGGGGGACCATTTTGTATGATGTTTATACAGCTATAAATTCTCATGTGCCCATGTTCCTCCTGGGGCAGAGATGGTCATTCCTGAATTTGCCTGCACTCTCCCCTATGCAGCAGCAGTAGCTCTGCTTTCCTGGAGTTTACTGTGTCAGAATAGTTTACTGGAAACTTATTTCAGCTTTAGGAGGAAGCTGGGTTCTCCCAGTCACTGGAAAGATTCTAATTGTATTTCAGTAGGGATTTTTTTCCCTCATAAATTTAACACTTCACTGATTTTAACTGCTCTCACCTCTACCTACTCTGGATTTCCATCACCACCATCCTCTTCAACCCCTGCTTCTCTTCCCCTCTGACTCTCCAGAGTTCCATTTCAGCTGTTCCTGAGGAAAGAGCCATTGTTTCCAAACTCTCTTCAGGTAACTACAAAGTGTAGCTGCTCTTTCACAAGAGCTCTACATCAGGAACAGCAAATAAAATCAGTGTTTTTCTGTGACAGGAATTAAGAGGGACACCATGCAAGTCTCAGCCACAGATTTCACAGCCAGTCTTTAATAGCAGTGTTGTTTTTGAATTAAGACCAGAGAACCCAGAAATAAGTTGAAGATCACAGATGTGTGGGCTGTGTATTTTACACTGGGCAACACCAATAAATTTGAAACTGCTCTTTCATCTCTTCTGGTGTTTTAGTTCCTGCCTTTATAGCAGGAATGATACTCTTTCAGTACAGAGGAATGATGTTATAATAAATGGATGTTTTGAAACAGACCCACTGATAAATGATTCAGAATTATGATATCCTTAAGAGGATTTTTCATTTAATCTCTGCACTAAAGACAATGTACAGTAAATAAGACTGTGCACACAGCTCCCAGCTCACAGCATCTGGACCAGGCACTAAATGAGCTATAGGCCAGAGACACACTGAGCTGTGACACTCACTGTCTGCAGGAGTGAGTTCTGGAATCTTCCTCTGCCCAAAGTGAATCCAACCAGGTGATCCCAGCAGGTACCACTGCCTGTTGCTGCTGTGGGACAGAGGAATCACTTGGACTCCATCCTGCAGTTCTTGCAGACTGTTTTTGGCAGGGAACATTTGTGCAAATGGTGTTACCTCTCTTCTAGACTTTCTCAGCACTCCCAGTAAAGCACTGTTGTTTCCCTTCCTTAGCTGGCTGAGCCACAGGGAATTGGTTTGCCAGAGAAAACTATGGAAATAGGTAAGAGACCTAACCCCCATGTCTCCCAAACCCTGGGGGAGTGCTGAAGTCACTCACTGGCTCTTCCTCCAAACGTGAAAGCTCATGAAATCACTCCTTCATACTGTAAAAATATTTCACACTGCCTTCCAAAGGAAAATAATGTTGATTTCGTATGCTTTGGGTGTGAAACACCTGTAGCCACAGTCAGAGACACTCTCCAGCCTCTCTAATGCTGCACCTGAGTCTGCAGTTTTCCTGGAGGTGTTCACATGGAATTATTTAATGAAGCTCTTCCATTTTCCTCACGATTACAACTTTCTAGCAGATGGTGCCTTCTAGTGGGCACAGACTGAGAGGAGCAGCACTGCTCAGATTAATGATCCAGGGACCTTTAATGTAGGGGTTCAGATGTTAGGGCTCTAATGAGCCTCATGCTGCTGGAAATGTGGTTATTGCACAAGACACTGAGGCTTTGTTTACAATTAAGAAAATTAATTGGATACACAAATCATTTCCTGAGCTTTTAAGCCTCACTGTGTTTTGAAAAGACCTAAAGCTCAGTGAGATTTTTTTCTTCAACTCTGATGTAGAGTTAATGAAATTAGGTCATTAGGAAAATAAAGAATGGGAGCAGAAACCTTACCACTTATAAGCACTCTGAAATCAGAAAGTTTAAAGAGGAATTTTCTGTCTGAAAAATGTGCATGTATTAACAGAAGCTGCTCTTTTGTGTTGTTTTGCTAAGGATCTGACATTTTTATTTATGGAGTTCTTGTAGTTAGCTACAGATATAAAAATTTCTGCAGTTTACAAAGCTGTACAATATACAATCCTTGCCCAAGAGATTCAATCCTGTTTGAAATTGCAGCTGGAGGAAGTGATGGAGTTCAGTGTTTCTCCAGTCTCAGAACTGTAGCTGTTCGTATGACAAGTGTGGTTGGAAGACCCGTGACCCTTTTGTGTCCAAAGGAAGGATCTCATCCTTCCCACCTGAATTCCCTGAAGAGTTTAGATCAGACAGACCCTTGTGCTGCACAGTCTGGTTGTGCTCAGCAGAGGGTGTCCCAAGTTGCAGCACAGTTTTCTGTTACATGAGGGTGTAAAGTGGAGAAATGGTCCAAATTCCTCAGCCAAATTCCCGTGGCATGAGGAGCATCCTCAGCTCAGGTGGGTTGGTGACAAACACCTGTCTGGTGTCCTGCCAGCTGACATCTCCAGCTGCTTGGGTTCATAAAAATCCACCCGCAGGACACATCTGTTTTTGCTTATATCATTCCTCCTCAGTCCAATATCTCCTTCTCTGAAAACAGGATTTTCCCAATGAATAAAAGTTTCTGATTTCACTTATTTCTGTTGCAGAAGTGTTTGCTTTTGAAAATCAGATCCCTGTGTCCTTAAAGCATAGTAGGGAAGATTTCTGTATTTTAACCCCAGCAGTGGAGAAAATCACTGAACTCAGCTGCTCTCTATCCACTGGGGTAGAAACAGAAAGGTTTCCAGAAAGCTTTTATTTGTTTGATTATTTTCACACGCACTTCAAGAAGTCAGGAGGCCAAGGATATCCAGGACAGGCACTGTGTAGTTTTGGAAAATTAGAAGACAGAGGAAAAAGAGCCTAACTTAAAGATATGAGGCTTCCTGCTGGTTTCCAGGCATCCACACCCCACGTGTGATCCCGTGTGTGCTGAAGTGTCCCCGTGGTCTGAGCTCTGATGTGACACATCCCAGTGACAATAACCCAGGACCATTCATTTGCTTCCCAAGAGGCTGCTCAGCAGCAGAACAGCAATTCCTTTAGTTTGCCAACTGCTTTAAACCAGAAGTTCTTTGTCGTACAGAAGGTGCCTGATTCAGTTCGACTGTAAGAGGTTGAACCTCAGTCAAATCCGCTCTTCAAAACATGTTCACTTGAAAAAGTGTTCTGTAGAGCCAGAAGAAAATTAGAAAAACTCAGAGAGCACTGCAATAGTTAAAGGCCTAAAAGTGCAAATGTCATTGCTCTTTGCAAACAGATTGATTTCTACAAGGATTTTTTTTGCTCCTGAAGAACCAGAAAGACTCTTCAAGGCTCATCACCTGATCTTTCAGGAAAAAGAATGTGAATTCCTTCCTGGCTCTACAGAGCAGTACATTTTTAATGAAAGTGACTGGTCATCCAAGAAAAAACAACCTGAGGGCTTGCTTGCCTAAATTCATGCTGAGAAACACAGGGACAGGCCCTCAGTCATGTTGTTATCTTTTAAAAAATACCTACTTCCAACAGCAGAGAAAGTGAGTGTTAATGAATGTTAATGTGATATAAGGGAGGGAGAAACCAACCTCCCAAAAAGGACACCAGCCCTTCTGCTGTTGGCACACAGAACACATTATAAATCAGACCAAATGTTCTTAAAAAATTGATGGAACTGTAAATGCTGACATTAATGATAAATGGAATCAACTCTTATTAGAAGG